GTTCAAATCAGTCCCGCGCCCCCGCTAACAGCTGTGCATCGCAGTCTGCAAAGACTGGACGCCAACTTCTGTCGCCTTTTCTGATCCTTTGAGACTGACTTGGTTGTGCTGTGGCTTGGGTTTGGGAGCTGAATTGTCCCCGGATTGTAGACATCAACTTAAGACAGAGCTGGGAGTTCTGTGGTACTTGAACCCTTTCTTTTTCAAGAGCAGAAGCCGAGCACAGCCTGAGATGGTTGCAGACTGGCCTCCAGAGAGGGAGAAGACGTGCTGTGCCAGATATCTGTGCTGTTGTCTACATGGTGCTGGTAAAGTGTGTCTGGATGCCCACACAGAGCAGTTCGTGCAGGCTGTGGAATGCCACTAAGTCTAGGGATGTGCTAGAATCATTTCTATAAAGCATTTCAGTGTTGTTGTTTTCTTCTATTTTGTTTGTTTTTTCTGTGTCAAACTAATGTAGTCGTGACCATTTAACACTCTTTCAGCTTGTGCTGGCATTTTTCTTAGCTCCATGTGGGTTTTAAACCCCCTAAATGGCATCATATTCTCAAGTGGGACCAACATTGTAGAAGGAAAGGCACAGGAACACACACGCACACACAAACTCAAGCACACAGAGTCCTGAAGCAGAGAGAAGGCTTAGGTAAGTTAAGCAGGCTACAGTAGCTACGACACAAAAGTTTAACTGTTAGACTAAATTAAATCATTGCACAGGAGTTGGTACACAACAATGTCTAGATTTGAAGGTCCCACAAAGAATCATACACAGAACTCTGCTTAGATTATAAAAATACAAACATGCACTCTGTTTTTTTCTGTCCGGTAATTCAGCTAAGAGCCATGCTCAAGACTGCCAAAGGCTCGAAAGTCAGATTCTCCACAGGACAAGATGTTATTTTTTCTTTAATGGCAAACATCAGATCAGTGTGCAACCAGCATCAGTGTGAAGAACTGTGCAACAGCACAGTTTAACATTTATTTTCCAGCATTTGCACCGCTTATGTTTTGATATTGTGCAAGCATCTCCACAGTTTTGATTCTTATTTTCTATCAGTTTTGGCTCTTTGCAGCAAGCAGGTCATTTAAGCTAATGTCTAGACTGCCGATATCCACCAGAAGCCAGTCAGAGCTCACCCTCTCACTGTAGAAAATGTTTGTCATACAGCAGGTTGTGGTAAAAACACAACAATGTGGCCCACATTTCTGTGTATACCATATGTACAGAACATGAAAGTACAGAGTACAGCGCGCATGGTGTTGGAAGGCTCAAACCAACAAAAATGTGCAATTTCGTGTTTCCCATATCAGGGAAAATTAAATATACTGACATTGTCATTGTAATTCAGCAATACTAGTCTTCATCTAATGTTTTTTACATATATTGCAAGTTGAAAATAAAATCACATATTTGCATTTTTACAGGCACATACATACCACAAAAATAGACTATGTGGAAACTAAATGTACTAGGCACAAGTTATGTACAGTCCATGTGCACAGGGCACATTGTAAAAACAAACCGTATAACAACAACCAAACAAAATAGACCAAGGAAAATCAAAGACAGTCATACAAACAGAAACAATACCCTGATTTGCTAACATGTCAACACCAAGGCATTCAGTACCTCCAATATCTGGTACAGCAAGAATGAGAGGTTGGAAACTTAGTCGATCTCAACAATTGCCAGTCAGTGTCAAACAGGTATGAAGGATATCAGGCCCACTTCACAGCAAGGTCCAGAAGAAGAACCATTAAGCAATCGCACTTTACACCCCCTTCCCCTTCCCCTTCCCCCTTCATCAGGCGAATACAGCACTATGTCCCACACACGTGTCATCGGCGGCCTGAAGCCAACAGATTGAACGCTCCTGTGACACAGACACAGAACAGATAAACTGACAGAAGTATGTGCTTGGCTAGAGCTGTATCGGCCTCATGGCTGAGGGTTCAAACAGAGTGGTACTGATCAAAGTGTCAGGGAAGCCATGCTTTGAGTGGGAGTGAATTACAAACTACACTTCTTACCAGATATGGACACAATTAAACACAGACAGTGCCTGATATCGCCTGAAACATTTAGCTCTTTAACTCGCTCTTCATCTCGCTCTCACTTAAGGTGGACTCATTCATCTAGTATCAGCACAGTCTTGATAGCAGCTTAATAGGGCAAACTCTGGTATTAGCACAAAGGAATCGGGAAGAGGACTAATTGATTGCACTGAAACAGCACTGAAGCAAACAACAGCCATTGACCTAAATCGACTTCATTCACAATCGTATTGGAATTTTGGCATGTACCTTTCCCAAAGGAAAAAAAGCAGTACAAAGTTCTTGTGTTCATGACTAAGGGATCACAGCAAAAACAACACAGATGTGACAAGAAAAAGGTTTAGTGCATGTTATTGAGCAAAGAAAAAGGGAACATGTATCCACTCCAGACTAACAACAGACCAGAGATTATAAGCCATACAATGAAGCCCTTAAAAATAACTGCCTACAACCTGTTTTTAGATTTAAAAATTTAGAATTAGTGATTAGAACCAGTTGCCACAGTTAAGCTAATGACCGTCTCGGGGTTAAGACTTTACATAGTCCTCCATATTTTTGAGCCAATCAGAACTGGAGGTGAAATTTTCAGCTTGGTAACATCAAGAAGTTGAAAATAGGAGAAACGATTACTCCAAATTAATCAATGGGCAGCCACATTATGGCAATCAATACGTCTCTCTGAAAGGTAGCAGACCTGAGTGAAATGTCCATCTCATTGATATTACAGTTTCGCTCTGAATCGATGGTCAGAGCTGAAAAAAGTTGGACGTTATTTAGCACAACAAATCAGCTGCCTATTTTCTTTCCCAATTGGCTCCCCCTTTTTTGCCCTTACACTTTAACCAGATAATGGGTCCAGGAGAAGTGTGGCAACCATTTTAGGAGAAAAGAGAAATCATTTTCTTTTTCATTGCAAGGTTGTAGTGCAGCACAAGGTCCTTAACTAGATGTCCTCATTGCTCGCTTTGGACAGAAGAGTTCAAAGTGATTACGACTCGCTCATTCACGCCCACTTCAACAGATAGACTTTTTACTTTTATCCTTTCATGTTAGATCTGGGTATGAGAAATAGCAGAAAGGTTAAATACAGAAACATTCAACCCAGATAAGCATCATCAACCGCCCCCTCCCAATAAAAAAAAAAAAATCACACAGACTCAGCAATTCATACAGCAAAGCCCACAGCCCCTTTGCATCATAAAAGCCTCTTTAAATCTTTGTCCCTTTATTTACATGGCAGTTTGTATCTGATTAGCTGTCTTTCCTTCTTATATGGCATACATTCAGCAAGAGAAGGACTTTAGGTTCAACACGATCAAAATTTTTGGAGTAAAAATAAGGAAAGCCTCAAACCAGCTCCATAATTTGAACCATTGGATTGTTGTGGATTAAAATTTGAGACATTCACTGGAGTTTTGGGTGATATGTGCACATAGAGACTTTCTAAAAGTGAGGCATTTGTGCCCCACATTAATACCCCCCACCCCCACTTCAATTTACAATAAAAATTTGAAATTAGCTTTAAAGTGACATTTTGAGGATGTGACATGCTGAGCTCCGACACATTTTTTCTGTGACTTTAAACCAGTTTCAAGACAGTTCCAAGTCTCAAGCAGTATTTTCCAGTCTGTTTTCAACAAAAATGACACTGCAACACACTCCTTTCATTCCCTCAAACATTTTTGGTTAAGGTAACAACATGGTCGCTGGATTACAATACCTCAAGTGAAGCCACAATAGCTGCTGGATTCTTTAAGATTTCACATTAAAAAGAAAACATAAAGAAGATCACTTTCTGTACAGCATATGTATAGATATTTATATTCATAGATATTTATATATAGGCGGGGTAGAGTATTGCAGAATTATATTGCATGTGTTAATCGATGAACCTAGACAGAAACAAGCAAGTATACAGTATGGATTGTTCACAAATGTCTCCGTTCAGTAAAGCTCAGATTATTCAGCTGTCTTTGTCTACAGGGTTACAATCAGTACGCTGAGCAAACAGCTGACCACTTCCCAGATGATTCATGAAAACGGGGCAGTGCCACCGTCAGCATGTCAAACCATGTCATGCTCGACGATGCAGTGGAGAGTGAGTCCCTTCTCCGGAAATGGAACCAAGACACATCAACAAACTCGCGCTCGCAAACTTACACCCACATATATACATACACACAAACCAAATATATGGCTTCTAACGTCGAATCAAGGCAGTTAAATAAATGGCATTTTCATCTATGTTTCTTTTTTAGTTGATACAGACACAACCAGACTTGGTGTTCAAGCTCAACTTTGGTTTGGGTAGATACAATGAATATAATATCCTTCCATCCTTTTTTTTTCTCAACTATTTACACATCGATGTAAGATCGACCAGCGGTCTAATACACTAAATCCACAACTATTTTAAACAATATGAAGATGTGTGTTGTTTTGCTACGACAGCTTATACAGAAAATTACACTCAAAACACTTTTGAACGCTTAAAATGTCATTGTCATTTGACCTCAAGTCCCTGATTTTCATTTTTAAGTCCAGCTCCTGCTAGATTGCATTGCATGGATTCTACACAGTATGCAATAGGTACATTAATCATACTTTTCTTGATATCTTTACAGTAAAGACAGCGATATACAGTAGGTGTTTGGAAGCAGAGTGAAGGGGTGATACTAAGACTACAGGTGCTGGCACGTTAAACTACACCAGTTCAACCCTAAGTTATTCTAGTTTAATTGTATAGACTCCTCCTTGTCAAAGTGTCTCTAGACATTGAGTAGCTCTTTTCCTTCTGCTGACACCAGCACACAGTGCATCCAGGTTGAATGACTGGTGGCGCTTGCAGTAGCTGATTGGTCATTTAGCAAACTGAGAGATCAGCTGGACTGAGCTAAACCAAACAGATTATCCTACAAAAAAGGCCTCTTAACTGAACTCTACCAGGGTCACAAGTTGGAAGACAGCCGAGATCTGGCAGAGTCTAGCTCTGGAAGGCTGACAATTGAATCTTTCTTGGGAACTCCAGAGTCTGGAGGTCCTGATCCAGCAGCCGCTGCTACTGCCCCCATTCCAGCAGGTCCACCAGGAGGAGGTGTGGAGGCAAAGGCCACCCTTTGCTGGGCTCCCGCCGATCTCGCCACACCTGAGGGCCCTGGCAAGCTGTGGTGAGGGGGCTGTGGAGGGCCAATGGAAGAGTTGGAGGTGCGGGTGGAGGCTGGAGGGCTGGGGGCTGCAGAGGCAGCTTGTTGTATTCCCTCCTGGGGGAGTGAAGGCTGGGAAGCAGACAGGGCCCGAGTGTCCTGGCTCAAACTGCCAGCATGAAGAGAGTGGGTGCTCTTGTGTGAGGCAGGCCTCTGCTGGGTTTGTGTGGGGCTGGGGGCATGGTGCTGCACAAGGGACAGCTGGGACCCAGAGGGTCCTACACTCGCTATACACTGGAAAGTCCGTCCTGACGCAGCAAGTGGGCTTTGAACGGGTGGGCTGGAAATTGCTGATCCAAATGCCCCTCCGAGAGTCTGGGGGGGTTGAGACTGAAGAGGAGACATAGACACTGGACTGGATAGGTTCTGAATCACCTGGAATCTTCTCACCATTCGCGGAGACTGCAAAGTTCCTGGGCCCACCAAAGGACTCGCCATCTGTGGGCAGAAGCTCATGGCCACCGCTTGCTGGAGTGTGGCAATCGCAGAGCCTGTCTGTGTCTGACCCGGGGGGGCAAAGATGCCACCAATAGAGGGGGTCATAGACATGGCCCGTGGTCGTTGCAGGTCCACTAGTTTAACCATCTCTCGGTCATATTTGACAATCTCTTGGATCATCTCATTCTCTTGGTTGTTGAAAACACCAGAGTTCAGGTCATGTTGAACCTTGTGCATCAGGATGGAATTCTTTTTACCTGAAAAAAGACATTCAGTTATGGACTATCCAAAGCTATGGTCAAAGCTAAGAAGCACATGGAGGACAGGAAATGGCAGGATTTAGAAAGAGGGGCTAATGCAGCTAGACATTGAATATAATGTCCTTCAGACCAGGTACATCCTCAAGAGGAACAAGTTGTGAGGAAAATTGTGGTGTCACCCTGTACGCTCATCTATTGTTACGGTGTCCTGCATCCTTTTGAGAGAGCAGAGCATCTCATTTTACTGCTTATTTCTACATTTATACACTGGTTATGTTCCTTTTTCTTTTTCATGGGGTTAATTTATAATTATACATCTATATTGTTCTATAGTATAAAAATGGTGCTGTGTGGGTTTTACAAATGCCACGGATGTGTTAGACAGTTTCACTTTAACTGTAGATCAGCCTCAATCAAATGCATGCAAGTTATTCCTTGCTAATATTGCAATTCTGTTGAGTTATCAGATTGAGAATTTTCTATCTCTTTCTTTCTGTCTTTACCTATGCGGTCCAGACGGTCAATAGCAACAGTCTCGAAGGCTCGTCTCATCATTGGATACTCCTCCAGCACCTCATTGAAGTGGTCAACGGACAGAGAGTAGAGTCGACAATAAGTCTCTGCTCGCACGCTGGCTGTTCGTCGACCTCTTGTCAATAAACAGATCTCTGAAACCAGGAAAGAAGAGACCATTTAGAAAAGAGTATCACCGGGAAAATAATGTGCAAGCTGGAAAATTCACCCCACCTCCAAAATAAAAGCCATCTGTCAGTTTCATTGCAAGGGTGCCCTTGGTGATGACGCTGCAGACTCCATGCTGGATGAAGTACATTTTCTTGCCAATGGTGCCTTCCCTTATTATGTAGTCATGTGGTTGAAATACCTCAAAGCGTAGCTTAGTCAACATGGCCGTAACAAAGTTTGGCTCTGCATTGGCAAAGAGTGGCATTGATGCCACCAACTTCCGACAGTTGAAGTTGACAATCTCCTGAGAAAAGGGACAAAAAAGAACAATGAAATTCATATAAACAATTTAATTCAGTCTAAAAGACCATCTTGTAAGAATCACACAAAAGTTTAAAAGGATTGCAACAAAACCACCGTACTGAACATAGATTGCAACTTGCACTGAAAACATTAAAAAATTTATTTTGGAAAAGAGACTTATTGTTCACATTAGTCTTACTTCTCTGAGAGGCTCACTGAGTTCCCCCAGGATGCTTTCCTCATCAAACATCTTGCCCTGGTATCTGTGCTCATAATAGTCATGGATTTTCTGTCGGAAGTCAGCGGGCAGCTTGTGGAAGGACATATACTGCTCCACTTGTTTGTACTAAGAGAGTGATGGAGAGAAAAGATGTTCTGTTAATGCAGTGTAAAGAGTAAAAGCAGTTTTTATTGACCCAGTCTCCCATTACATTACGGGAATAAAAAAGGAAATTTAGGCATTAATAGAGCCTGGAAACGTTTGAGGAAAAACACACGTCTCGGATTTCTTCTTATTTGTCACATGGTTTCATTAAACTGTAAAAATTTCCATTTGGCCAGAAAAAGAACCACGGTAGTAATGAATGAATTCAGCTATAAACCATTACCTTTATGCTAAATCTTTTAAAAAATTTTAAGGTCTAAATGTATGAAAGGGTTGAATGAATAAAGCGCAGGGAATGCTTTCAAACAAAACAACTTTAGTTGTATATGCGTACATATACAATATATCTATATTTATGTATACACACGCACATTTATATATATATATATATATATATATATATATATATATATATATATATCATGATAGGGAATCTTAAATGCCTTACAGCAGAAGCATTTATCAAAGCCCAACACTGACATAAACATAACAAAACACATTACGCAATGCAAACTCACCCAAAGCCAAAGACTGTTGCCCTACCCGTGGGCATAGAAATACTCAAACAAGCCACATATGAGTACTACACATCGTTCTCCATACATCATTCTGAGAGGACAAGACGTAATATGCGTTTTAGGACTGTCCTTGCCCCGAGACTCTGGTCGACTTATCATTACGAGACTGCTTCACAGAGAAAGACAATCACTCTGCTGACATGCCATGAGTCAGATGACTGCGTTCAACCAAGAACCCTACCCACTTCTACTGTAAGTGAATCCCAACATACCCTCCAGTGCATCAAACTAAGACAGTACAAACAGCCGAATGTCTAAAAAGATCACTGGCCCTTTTATCCCTGCTACCTTAATGCTAATCAATATACTTGCAGAGATATGCTAATTGGAATCTATTTAAAGCAAGAGAGACAAAATAACTACATGGTATGGCTGCAAAGAGCCAGTGACTGGGCAGTTGACTGTTGAGGAAAATGTTTCTCCCTGTACTTTGCTGTCAAAGTGTGAGCACTTCAGCCCAACAGAACAGAAAGCCTCATAAGACCACACATCAACCCAGAACCCATAAAGCTTTCTGAAACATAATTCTGAGAGGCCTACAGCCCGGCACAATACTGTGTACTCACAACTTTCAGAGCCCGAGGAAGACATCATTCAAACAACCGCTATTCCCCTCTCTCGCAATCTGCAGCAGTCTATCAAGAAACCTCCCCTGACAGCCATTTCAATAGCTTAAAAAGAAAAACAAGACTGGCCCATAAATGTAAGGTCCCAGGCTGATCTCTGCTGAAGACATGCCTGTGTCAGCAAACACGTCTTACCGGAGGCTCCAAGCAAAACAGTATGGTCTACCTGCTCAAACAAACTCTGAATCCTCAAAAGGAATAGAGTATTATAGAAAAATTGCTTACTGTAATAAAAAGACAGCATGTGTCTCTGATTAAAAAAGAAAGCATATTTGACAAGCGCATTTCAGATTATATGCAGTAGGATGGTATTTGTACACAGAGACAAATCTTTGCTCCACAGGGCAATTACATCTCCAGCTCTTACCCACGACTTTATGGCAACAGTACAGTAACCCTCAATATTGAGCAGAAAATGTACCATGTCACTCACAGCATAAAGCATATGATTTTGTGACCAAATCACAAGCAGCAACCTGAAACTGTCTCATTTTAGGTGAGGGTGAAAAAATATTCAGATACATCTATAAATGTTGACGTCTTTCTAAATTCTCCCTCTCACAGCACAATGATGATGAGATGACACAACACTTAAGGCTGAACTATCAATGAGAGACTGTAAAATAATTGCAGGCACAGCCTTAATTCTAGATGATACACTCTTGTTGAAATTCCTCTGTAAAAAATATGTTTTTTCTTTCAAGCAGTATCAAAAATTAGCTCAGACAGATATAATCATGTTCAAGAATGGTCTACTGTATAATTAGAGTAAATTGAAGGGACGATTGAAGAGTTGTTCGTATGGTTTACAACTGTATGGTATTTAAATTGTAAAATTATTATAAACATTTATACAGAGGGTACAGAGACATAAGACTTTTTAAAGGTTCTCATACATTTATTATTCATGTCCCCGTCAAGCTTTTGTGCTGAAAATGTCAAATTATTCTCAAGTCACATCTTTCAGCAACATTTTTAATGGACTGGTACGATTTCAAAGATAATTCTTGGATGCTAATGGACCTCAAGAGTTTGAATTCCTGAAACTACAACAGTTTAAACAAGTCTTCTTGATCATTTTAAGGACACTGGCAGCATATTTGTCCTGACGCCTTGCAAACAGTTGACAGGATATCAGCGTTACACAGAATGTGGTAATATGAAAATGTCAAATTGTTGTTGAAGTCCTAAATAGACTAATAGAGCTATGGTTATTAAATGTATTTCAAATGTACAGAAACGCATTTCTTAAAGTCTGACAAACATTCTAAGGTAAAGTAGTTTAGAGTAAAATATTCCTGCAAGTATGCCGCCAGCTCCCATACAAACCCTGCTCTACGGTTCCTGTCTTTGGCCTGTAAGAATAAGCCCGTAGCAACACAGAAAAACCCCAAGGGATTGAGATAATGATAAATAAGTAAAGCATACAGAACTCAGAAAACAGAAAAAGCCGCAAAGCTGCCCAGTTTACCGCTTTATACTAATGTGCCATTAGTAAATTGATAATTGTTTAATACCATTATCTAATAGGTCAATATGAAAAAGCCCTAAAGCTGGATAGCTAAAGTGGGGCATAGTCGTAAGTATCACAGAAGAGTTCAACATTTTTGATCAATCCATCAATTCCTTTTCTCTGTTTTCAAACTAGAACAATTAAGGAGTATGTTAAGACATGCATAGCTGAACCATGCTTGTAATCCCACTGACAGTCTCTGGTAGTTTTCAAATGTACTTCTCTCTACTATGGAGCTACAATGATAAAAAATGTCTTTAATGTCACCTCTCCAAAACTGCAGCTCATACAGTTTTTACAGAGGGGAAGTTGGTGTACCATGAATGTGGATTGCTCTACATTGGGGGTCGGGGGGACGGTACCGAATAACTCCATATTTTGAATCAGCTTCCTCCATTATTACATCGATTTAAGAAACGTCAAGCAGGCAAAAAACACAAGTACCCATGTGAGGAAAACTCTCGTCAACGAATCCTTCGATGGGGCTGCCAAACAGAAAGTCTCACCTGCATGAGTGACTCTGCTTCCTGACATCTGCAGATGGAGAGCAGCCTGAAGAAGTGACCCTGTGTCACAGCTCTTTACCCAACTTGTCAACTCCAACTACAACTCTCAGAGAGTGGAGGAGCACGGCTGCGAGGGAATCTCTAAGTCAGAGAAAAAACCTCCCACAGGTAGACGCGGGGCGACCACACGGCTGTGGTCAGACATGGAGCTAATTCCGGCAGCATGTGACTCAGCCAGGTCTGGACGAACGAGGCGGGCGAAAGCCCGGTTGGATGCAGGTGGCAGCGTTTAGAGCCTTGACCTTCAGTGTCACGTCACAGTGCAAGGTATCGATCATCCCAGGCTGACTCTGAAATCTTCCCGGGGTGACAGCAGTTAAAGAGTGCACGTTAGGTCTGTGCCTCACAGCATCCAGAGGGGGACTGACACACACCCACGTCGCAGTGAAAGTGACATCCATTTTCTGGGCCGTTTTGACGCAGTGCATGCTGCAACAAAGCGGTCCACTGATGTTTTTTCCCTCCATGCGAGCTGTCTGGGATTTCTCATTTGGGAGAAAATTAAGGGGAGTTAGTTTGTGACTTTGATTACATTTTTTTTCTTTGATGTTTTATCCCCATTAAACCAACCCAGGCATCAGACTTTTACTATTCCCTCCTCTGCTCTCAGCTTGATCATTCAGTCTGTAACTTCTCTCCACAGGAGGTTCTAATTTGAGTTCACCCCGAATGACCATGTGGATGCATAATTCATTCACTTCTTTCCCTGCCAAATTGCCTTATTACAATTTGAATCACGTTCACCGGAAGAAAGACAAGTCATACAGTGGGAAATCAGAACTTGTTCTGTCTGTCTACCAGTCAAGGATGTGTGCAGAGAGTAAAAACACACTTTAAGCTTTCTCACCGTAGAAAGTCTCATTAGATGCAATTAAGCTTCCAAGGAAATACGGGAAATCCTACAGCTCATTCAAAGGGAGTGAAAACCAGCAGAGACAAAACGATAAAGATTTGTTTGTCAGACACTTAGAAATGACTAGAGTAGAGAGTATCATCTGCCAGAACTGAAGAGACACAAGCATTGGCTGCTATATTTGCAAAGTCAGCCAGCTTCTGGGTAATTGGAACCATCAGTGACAAGAAAACAAAAAAAAGGCTGTTGTTACTGTTAGTTGAACAATGAGATGGGAGGCAAAAATAATGTTGAACTGGCTTTTCATCACAGAGAGTTCACTTACTACTGCTCTCTGTTTAGCTGGCTGAGCTTGGTGTTGAGAGTAGCAGCTATGGAGGGCTGATTCAGTGCAAAACCCTGTGTGGCCATTAGGAGGGGATTATGAATGCAACAAGTGAATCTGTGGAGTTGACTAATCTTCTTTCTGTTCATTTTTTTAAATATATGATTATGACTAGAAACATACCCTGAAGAATTTATTAGAAATACAATAAACATCATATTTAGTTACATGCCCCTTTGACAGAGATGAAGGAGTTTCTTAAAATGAATTCAACGGGGACATTCTGGGAACAGAGATTGTCTGGCACAGATCTGACTTTTAAGCACATTCGGACAGGTTTTAAGAAAGACTGATGCTACTGCAAAGGTTTAAAGCAGGGATGTCAAAGTCAAACACACCAAGGGCCAAAAAAACAAATTTGCTACAAGCCGAGGGCCGGACCGGTTCAACGTTTATTAAAACATATCGAAACGATTGCACATAGACTATTGAACCAAGAC